ATTGATTTCAGAGAGGAAGGGAGAGGGAGAGAGAGAAACATCCATGAGGAGAGAGAATCATGGATCATGGATCGGCTGCCTCCTGCATGCCCCACACTGAGGATCGAGCCTGCAACCCGGGCCTGTGCCCTGACCGCGAATCGAACTCGGGACCCTTCAGTCCGCAAGCCGGCGCTCTAGCCACTGAGCCACACTGGCCAGGGCCCAGAAACACGTTCTGCCAGGGGCAGCTTGTGAGCACACCCGTTGGGACAGCACGACGGCGGCGGTGACTTCAATATTTAAAACGCGGCCGCGGAGCCGCTCGCTCTGTTAATATTTAACGCTGGGAAAACAACTGTTTACGGGAGAGGTTAGCAAACCCTGCAGATGGCTCCAGGCTTGGGGGAGACGGGCTGGGGAGGGGGGATCCTCAGGGGACGCCCAGCTGCTGGCGCGTCTGGCTGCGGCTCAGACCCCAGGCGGCGGGGGCAGGGGCGGGAGGCCCACGGCCGTCCCTGGGGTCGGAGAGGAGGATAAACACGGCCGGTCACGGGGCGGGCGGCCCCGGTCCAGCATCGCGGTTTGCAGGAAACCCAGCCCTGCAGCTGGGCTGGGGAGGTGGCTGCTGGCGAGGGAGCCGGGGCCGGCCGGCCGGCGTCACCAACCCAGGCAGCTGCGTCCTGCGGCCCCCCCGCGGGGCTGGGCTCCGGCGTCCTGCACGGTGACCTCATGGTTCGTAGGTCGACGCTCGGCTCCGCCGCGGAGCCACAGCTGCAGGGCCCGGGCGGGATCCCTGGTGGCCCTGGCGGCCGCCCTGAGCAGGTGCCGGGGGCCGGGAGAGTCACGAGCAGGTTTGAAGGTCGCCTGGGTCACCCTGGGGCTGGCAGGGACCTGGGACAGGCCGTCCCACAGGTGGCAGGCGGGACTGTTGGCAGGGGCTGCGGGATAGAAGTCTTTTTATATATAAAAAAAAAAAGTTTAAAAAAATATTTTAAAAAAGATGCCCAGGCCAGTTTGGTTTAGTGCATACCAGGAGGGTCCCAGGTTCGATTCTGGTTAAGGGCACATACCCGGGTTGTCGGCTCAATCCCTAGCAGGGGGTGTACCGCAGGAGGCAGCCAATCCATGATTCTCTCTCTCATCATTGATGTTTCTCTCTCTCCCTCTCTCTCTCTCTCTCTCTCCCCCTCCCTCTCCCTCCCTTTCTGAAATCAATAAAAAAAAATATATATATATATATATATTTTTTAAATTTTTATTGATTTTTTACAGAGAAAGGAAGAGAGAGGGATAGAGAGTTAGAAACATCGATGAGAGAGAATCATCGATCAGCTGCCTCTTGCACACCCCGTACTGGAGATGTGCCCGCCACCGTGGTACACGCCCCCGACCGGAATTAAACCTGGGACCTTTCCGTCCGCAGGCCGGTGCTCTATCCATTGAGCCAAACCGGTTTTGGCAATAAAAATATATTTTTAAAAAATAAATAAAGCACGGACATGCGTTGCAGGCTCCCCGGCCCTGGTTTGGGCCACGTGAGGGAGGCAATCAATGGATGTGTCTCTCTCGCATCCATGTTTCTCTCTGTCTCTCTCCCTTCCACTCTCTCTAACACACACACACACACACACACACACACACACACACGAGCTCGGTTCTTGGGGAACGGAGTGGGGTTTATCCCTGCTTTATGGGGGAAGACAAGGTCCCGTTCCAATGTCCATCACACCCCTTCCCTCGGTGGTGGCCGCACGGAGCACCTCCTGAGGGCAGGGCACGTGGCCGTGGGCTGTGCGCTGTCCGTGGTCCTGGCGCGGGAGCCGCTGTGGCCGCGTGGCCCTCGAGGCTGGGAGAGACCAGCTGTTTTGGGGGGAGCGGCCAGCGTTTGGCTTGGGGCAGAGGAGAAGGAGACTCGTAGGCGGCAGAGAAGGCTCCTGTCTGCCTGCACCTCGGCCCTGCGATCCTGAGGGCCCATTTATTCCTTTTTAAAATTTTCTTGAAATATATTTGTATTGATTTCACCGGGGAAGCGGGAGGGAGGGAGAAACAGAAACGCCCATGATGAAAGAGACCCATGGATCGGCTGCCTTCTGCACGCCCCACTCTGGGGATCGAGCCCGCACCCGGGCCTGTGTCCTGACTGGGGATCAAACGGAGACCTCCTGGTTCATAGGTTGATGTTCAGCCACGTAGCCACGCCTGCAGGGCCCCAGCCCAGCTCCAAGGGCCTTTTAGAACGCAGAGCCCTGGACGCGGTTCCCTGTGGACGTGCTGAGGGGCCATCCATCACTTGGTCGGGTCTCTCGGATGCGGACTGGCCTGTCTGTTCCCCGTGGATGCGCCCTGGGTGCGTGGGCCCTGGGACCTGGGCGCCTGGCAGGGAGCGGGGCAGCCGCTCTGAGCCCATGGCTCCCTCGCTCAGCAGCTCAACAGCGCTGTGGTGGTGGGAACGGGACCCCGGGGACGCAGGCGGGAGGGACACAGCCCACGCCCTGTTCTCCCGGGTGGACATTCTGTTAAGCTCTCCCGGGGGAGGCAGACGTAAACAGGGCATTTGTTTTTATTTTTTTTTTTTTACCAGGACACAGGCTTTATTAGAGGAGAAAGACCCTGCCGGGCTGCCTTCCAAAGGAAGAGAGCTAAACAGGGCATTTAACGACACGAGACGTGATGGAGAGGCACATGCAGCAGGAAAGAGGACAGAGGGGCCCTGGGGGGCGGCAATTACATGGTCTGGCGGTGGCTGGCTGGTTGGGTGGGGTGGGTGGGCCCCTCCGCCCCTGGTGACATGTGAGAGACGCAGGAAATGAGGTTGGGAGCCCCAGAGGGGGCAGTGGGCCCTGAGGGTGAGGGTAGCCACGTGGGCAGTAGGGCCAGGGTGGGTCATGCTGGCCTGTCACCCTCAGAGGGGCTGCGGTTCTGTCTCGGTGGGAGCCAGGGAGCTGGGAAGGGTTGGGGGGAGACTTGGCACAGCAGAGCGACACAGGAGCCTCTGTGACAGGGTCTGTGTGTGAGCTGGACCAGGCCACAGGGACACACTGGGTGAGAGACGCCACTGGAGGGTCCGAGGGGACCCAGGCACGTGGCAGTGACAACAGGGACTTTAGAGAAAGAGAGGAAGAAACAGAGAAACATCCATGATGAGAGGGAACCATGGATCGGCTGCCTCCTGCAGGCCCCACACTGGGGATCGAGCCTGCAATCTGGGCACGTGCCCTGACCGGGAATCAAACTGTGAAAACTCTTGGTTCCTAGGTTGATGCTCAACCCCTGAGCCACGCTGGCCCGACACCCTGCTTCTATTCGGGTTAGGTAACAGCTCATGGATTGTACAGGATGGTGTGGACTGTACACGATGGTATGATATTCTACTTGCTGCTCACTGCCCCGGAAAACCAACATTGTCACCGGTAGTAAAATGTAAAGGGAGCTGGCCAACCTTGATGGCTCTGAATGGTCGGAGCTATTAACTCATTGTCTAGTTGAGATAGTGGTAGTTGAGGCAACTTTGTTAATCATATATGTAAATTCTTGTTGATTTTCTGTTGTTGGAATTTTCTGCCCAAGGGATGTCTTTGTCTCAGAATCTCAATAAAAGGAATGGCAAAAGGCCAGAGCCCTGGGCGCTGTGTCTGTCCGGCTCTGATCAGCCGATCTCCAGGCTCAAATGTAAAGGGGACGCGCTATCTAGTGGCCGGAGCTGGAACTGCAACTAGATGACATCAAGATACCCCCTGAGCAATCTTCAAGGGCGAGGTGCCCACAGTCCCCTTACAGGTAAAGGACAACAAATAGCCTGGTGAAGAAAACCCCATGAGATTCTCGGAGATAGTCTCCAAAACCACTTCACAGCTCCCAAACCTGACAGGCTGGTTACCCCTTCTCCCTGTTCACAGGTGCCCCATTCTGAAGGAAAATGCCCAGTTTCCTAAGAAACCTTTGTAAAACCCATTTTGGATTAATAATTGCCTTTTCCTGCCTTGGTTGGTGTAGCTCAGCTGGTAGGGCGTCGTCCCGTTCATGGAAAGGATGCCGATTCGATTCTCAGGTGGGTTGGGGCTCCATCCCCAGTGGATGTTTTGCTCACATCGGCATGTCTCTCTCCCTCTCTCTCTGGAAATCAATAAAAATATGTGTGTGTATGTGTGTCGTGTATGTTAAATAGCTTTTCTTTCTTAAATTGATTTCAGAGACAGGGAGAGACAGAAACATCAATGATGACAGAGACTCATGGATCGGCTGCCTCCTGCGCGCCCCACACTGGCGATCGAGCCTGCAACCCGGGCCTGTGTCCTTGACTGGAATGGAATCGAACCCGGGACCCTTCAGTCCTCAGGCCAAACCAACGAGAGCACATTTTACCTCTTAGTGGTGAAGCTTCTACAATTACTCAAGATGATCTATTAATACAGAAAACAGTCTCTAATGTTTCTGAAAGCCAGTTATAACTTTATTAACTCTTCCATCCCCGCACAACCTTTTACATCACTAATCAGGTTCAAACCAGTCTCCAGATCTGGAAGCTCTAGGTCACTTTAAACAGTCCCAGACGAAGACCAGACATACGTAGGACATCACACAACTCGCGGGACACAGACGTGCGGGGGGGGTGGGGTGGGTGGTCACTCACTGGGCTAAAGAATGAGCCGGCCCGCTTCGCCCGTCACAGCTGAGAGGCACTGCGGGCCGAGAGCCGGGGGTGGGGTGGGGTGGGGGTGTGTGTGTACACTTGGGCTCGAGCAACAGAAAATGAAGCCACGGGAACGAAATCCATTTCCAATCACTGCAGTGTGTTCCTCCAGTTGAATGAGTCCCAGTTGTTGTTTTTTTTTTTCACAGAAAAAAAATACGTTCAGGCAAATGAAAGCGAATTCCAGAGAAGCACGGTCCAGTGTTTTCTTCTTTAGCTTTACCTTCGTCGAGGCAGGCCGAGTACAGATGCTGTACGTTAAAAACACACTGTGTCACCCGCGACACCCTTCCTCCGGGCCGAGGCCTTCCGGAAGCAACGGACGCCGCTAAATGTAGAGAGAGCCGTCCGCGGGCCCCACGTAGCCGACCCCGATCAGCAGCACGTCGATCAGCGTCCAGATGCCCAGGCCGCCGAAGCTGAAGAGCTTGCCCAGGCCTTCCCTCCACTGGCCCAGGTAGAACCGGTCCGCGCCGAAGCCGCCGAGGGTGATGCTGGAAGAACAAACAGGACCGGATCCCACCACACGCCCCCCACCGCCCGATCTCCAGACCCCAGCCCTCTGTGGGATCGCGGGGCTAGCACACGCGACTACTGCAACTCCAAATATTTTCCATCTCCGGTCCTTGGCGGAGTGGAACAAATACAAGCATGTAAAAATATAAATCTGTAATTATTTCAGGATGGGGGGGTGATGGGTGGCTTTAGTTTTTCTTTGATCATGCTCACCTTCCCGGTGCTCACTATGGAGCATGTGGTACTTTTATAATAAAGGAAAAAGTTAAATCGCCTGTTGCAATCAGTACGCAGGGCTTACTGGCTCGCGGTACATCAGGCTGGGGACCCTCGGTGGCTCTAACGCTCTGTAACGACTCAGCTGAGGCAGGTGCACAACTCCACAAAGGGCTGCTCTGACCCCCGAGCGCCTCTCACAGCCGCCGCCTCGGGTCTGAGGAAGGTTCCACTGACCCCACCGATTCCCACAGGCCCCCCAGCTCGCTGGAACGGCTCACCTCAGAGCCAGGGCTGTGGACCACTTGTAGCCGCCGGTCCAGTTGCAGTAGAGCATCTTGAGAAACGTCCGGTTACCTTTCAGGAAAAAGAAAACGCTCCGTTTAGACACCTGGGTACAGACATCCTCTCACACAGAGACCTGACGGCACTGGTGGCCTTGTAATAAAGACCTAAAAGTCAGCCTCCGTGCAACAATGCCCACTATGGGGAGTGGCTGGTTTGGCTCAGTAGATAGAGAATCGGTCTGCAGACTGAGGGGTCCCAGGTTCGATTCCGGTCAAGGGCACACACCTGGGTTTTGGGCTTGATCCCCAGTAGGAGGACATGCGGGAGGCATGTACCTTGTTTGCAGACATATCCCTGGTGGGGGGTGTGCAGGAGGCAGCTGATTGACGATTCTCTCTCATGGATGTTTCTCTCTATCTCCTCTCTGTAAAAAATCAATAAAATATTAAAAAAGAAAAAGAAAGATCTGGTCATTCCTAAGCGTAGACTTAAAATTTAAATGTTAGATCAGGCGTGGCCAATGGGGGCTCTGTGGTTAAGCATCAAACCTACGAACCAGGAGGTCACGATTCAATTCCTGGTCAGAGCACATGCCCGGCAGGGAGCATGCAAGAGGCAGATCAATGTTACGGTCTCACAAGAATGTTTCTCTCTTCTCCCTTCCCCTCTCTTTAAAAAATAATAAACTACCCAACGACAGTGCATTAAACTTCATACCTTACGGATGTGGTCTTGTTCTATTGCTACATTTTACAAGATAGGAGGATGGCAAACGTTCTGGGTGTTTATGGCTCCCTTTCGTAGTAATGGGGCTTGGCAGGACTCCCAAGTGCTGACGAATGCTTCTGGTGAAATCATTTGGACTGGATTCTCAAGCGTGTGGTTAAGGCCCACAAGCGAGCTCAGAGGGACCCGACTCACCCAGGCAGAGCACGTGGTCCCGCACCGTGCAGTTGGCGGGGTAACGGGCCCGGGGACAGGACACCGTCATGCAGCTGGTGGAGTTGGTGCACTCGTAGTCCGTCTCCGGGAGCTGCCAGCAAAACCGGCAGGTCATGTTGATGACGAAGTGCTTTTGGGATCTGAGGTCCTGATCCTAGGCGGCAGAGGACACAGAACTCATCAGTCATCACAGAGGAGCTTATTAATGTGTCAACAAAACCACACAGTCACATGGCACAGTGTGCCAGATACTCCATGATCTGGCAGGAAGTGGAAAGAAAATATTTGGATACAAACTGTTATGTATCCAAAGCAAATACACACTGAGTGGCCAGATTATGATGATCTCTGTATGCATAATAATCTGGCCACTCGGTGTACATGGTATGATCCTATAATCATAAAAATATACACCCATAGCTGAAACAGGTTTGGCTCAGTGGATAGAGCGTCAGCCTGTGGACTGAAAGGTCCTGGGTTCGATTCCGGTAAAGGGCATGTACCTCGGTGGTGGGCACATCGCCAGAGGGGGGTGTGCAAGAGGCAGCTGATCAATGTTTCTCTCTCATCGATGTTTCTAACTCTCTATCCCTCTCCCTTCTTCTCTGTAAAAAAAAAATCAATAAAATATATTACAAGAAAAAAAACAAAACAAGCAACAAAGAAAATGAATTCTGGAAAGGTTTCCCTTCCACAGCAAAGTCTGTCCATTTTCACTACGTACCTACGATGTGCCAGACAATAACACACATGATTCTAAAAGCCTTTCAACAGACCAGTCGGCGTGGCTCAGGGGTTGAGCGATCAACCTATGAACCAGGAGCTCACGGTTTGATCCCCGGTCAGGGCACATGCCCACTGGGGGGGCATGCAGGAGACAGCCAATCAATGATTCTCTCGCATCATTGACATGTCTCTCTCTCTGTCTCCCTTCCTCTCTGAAATCAATAAAAAAAAAAAAAAAAAAAAAAAAAAAACATAGGTTAAAAAAAACTGCCATCTGAACCCTTGTAACCAAACCTGACTTAGAGGCTCCAGTTTTTTGACCAAGCTGGCTTTCGTCCTAAAATATTACATACAAGACGCAGATACCGGGACCGGTTTGGCTCAATGGATAGAGCGTCGGCTTGGGGACTGAAGGGTCCCGGGTTCGATTCCGGTCAAGGGCATGTACCTTGGTTTCGGGCATATCCCCAGTAGGGGGTGTGCAAGAGGCAGCTGATCGATGACTCTCTCATCGATGTTTCTAACTCTGTATCTCTCTCCCTTCTTCTCTGTAAAAAATCAATAAAATATATTTTTTAAAAAGATGCAGAGCACTTTCTTTCAGAACTTATCCCGCCCCCCGGATCTAACTTCTCCCGGAAGCTCCTGGCTTACAGCGGGTTTACTTAGAACAGGTCGGTGGCAGCACTTACAACACAGGTCACAGAAGGCTTGACCGTGCAGTCAAAGGTGACGGGCTTCCCGTAGACGCAGGAGAAGTTGGTCCTGCACTCCATGCAGTCGGCGGGGAGTCTGCTGCACAAGCCATTGCTCGGGCACTTCATCACGTAGGGCGGGATCTCGGTGCTTTCTGCGAGAGGCCAGACAGAAGCTATTCTCTTAGAGCGCCGATTTAAAACACACACACACACACACACACACACACACACACACACACCATTTCCTAAGGTTACGGGACATGATGGTTAGCAAGGAGGGACTGGAAAAAGCAAAGCTGGAGCCAGTGTGACAGCTGCAATGACAGCAGGGCTCTGCCAACAGCCAGCTCTAGGACCTGATAAAACAGCTCCATAGCTTAGAAAACAGCATGGAGCCCAGCCAGGGTGGTTCAGTGGTTGAGCACTGACCTATGACCTATCACGGTTCAATTCCCGGGCAGGGCACACGCCCCAGTTGCAGGCTTGATCCCCATTAGGGGACCACACCAAGCTGCCCTCCCAGTACTCCCCTAACTCCCCAGTCCAGCTCCAGCTCCAGCTCCCAGCTCCACGCCCACACTAAGGGAGCCCACGGGGAAGGCAGGACGTCCAGAAGATGGCGGCAACACCATAATAGAGCGATTCTCATAAAACTAAATTCTCCCTTCTAAGCGCATAGTCTTTCATAAGAAATGTTACATAGCCCAGGCGGTGTGGCTCGGTGGTTGAGCATCGACCTTCGAACCGAGGAGGAAAGGGTTTGATTCCAGGTCAGGGCCCATGCCCAGGCTGCGGGGTTTGATTCCCAGTAGACGGGCATGCAGAAGGCAGTCGATCCATGATTCTCTCTCATCATGGATGTTCCTATCCATCTCCCTTCCTCTCTCTGAAATCTAATAATAAATAATAATAACAATAATGAGCCAAGACCGGTTTGGCTCAATGGATAGAGCGTCGGGTTGGGGACTGAAGGGTCCCGGGTTCGATTCCGGTCAAGGGCATGTACCTTGGTTGCGGGCATATCCCCAGTAGGGGGTGTGCAAGAGGCAGCTGATCGATGACTCTCTCTCATTGCTGTTTCTAACTCTCTATCTCTCTCCCTTCCTCTCTGTACAAAATCAATAAAATGTATTTAAAAAATAATAATAATAACAATAATGATAAAAAGGGGGGTGGGTGGGGGGGAAGGAAAGTGACTTCATGGACTGAACGACATGCCATCCACCAAAAAGCGAGGGAGAACCCAGCACATGTAAGCACACACATTCACCGGCACACGAACACGTCCACGTCCCAGTACCTGCCGCCCTGGGAGCCGCTGTGACAGGGCGCGTGGCGCCCGGATCCCTCACGGCCCGCGCCAGCGGCTGCGAATGCTCTAGGTTTAAGGATCCTACAACCAGAGAAACAGGTGACCCCGGGGACACGGCCACCTCCGTGCAGTGGGCAGAGGCGGGGTCCACGCCACGCAGCGACTTGCTCGTGGGGAAAACCCTCGCGACTCCGCTGCCCAGAGAACGGAAGCAGGAGACGCCATGGGTCGACGCCCATGGAGGTCAGTGGGCGATGAGGGAGCAAATCGCGGGGTCGGGACCCCCGCGACCGGCGGCGGCCAGACTGGGGCCCGCAGCGCCCGGCCACCCCGCTCCGCCCTCCCCCACCCCCCGGCCACCCAGCCAGACGCAGCCCCGACGTGGCCCCGGCCTGGAACCCACCACCGCCCGACAAGATGTAAAACTGCGAGAGGAAGAGCAGCACCCGGCAGAGGCGGCCCAGGACCCCCGGCCGGCCCGCCGCGGGCGCCATCTTGGCCGGCGTGACGCACTTCCGGGGCGCGGGCTAGAGGTCCTTTGAGGGGCGGGGGCGCCGGCCTGCGCGCCGGAAGGGGAGGAGCCTGGAGCGTTCCGGCCCCGCCTCCTCACCCCGAGGAGCGATCCTCCAGGGCGCAGGCGCGCGTGGCGGCGCTGACAGCTGCGACGCTGACTGGTCGCCTTGGTTTCCAAGCGCCTCCTGGGCTCAAGGGCGAGGCGCTCGCCCTTCTGGAGAGACCGGGAAAGGGCACCGGGACCGAAAGGCACGCCTGAAACGGCACGTTAGCTGGATAGATGTGTTTATTTTTTATTTTTTATTTTTTAAAAAATATATTTTATTATTTTTGTACAGAGAGGAAGGGAGAGAGATGGAGAGCTAGAATCATCGATGAGAGAGAGTCATCGACCAGCTGCCTCTTGCACACCCCCTACTGGGGATATGCCCGCAACCAAGGTACATGCCGGAATCGAACCCGGGACCTTTCAGTCCCCAAGCCGACGCTCTATCCATTGAGCCACACCGGTCGCGGCTGGATAGATGTGTTTAGACAGAGCCGCCATGTGCTAGGTACTGTGCGACAGTTTTTTTTTTTGTGTGTGTGTGTGTGTGTGTGTGTGTGTGTTTTATTGATTTTTTTACAGAGAGGAGGGGAGAGCGATAGAGAGCTAGAAACGTGAATGAGAACGAAACATCTATCAGCTAGCTGCCTCCTGCACACCCCCCACTGGGGATGTGCCCTCACCAAGGTCCATGCCCTTGACCGGAATCGAACCCGGGACCCTTGAGTCCGAAGGCTGACGCTCTATCCACTGAGCCACACCGGTGTGGGCTGTGCGACGGTTTGGATGGCTTTCCGTTTCAGGGCCCAGTTTGCAGGTGAAGAAACTGTGGTCCAAACTGTATGGGAAGCGACTGAGGCTCTCGGCTGGGCCAGGTGGCCCCCGATCCTGGGGCCTGGCCCAGCCTGTACCCAGCTGGCATCTCTCCGCAGCTGCTGTGGGTTCAAGACACTTGTTAAGTCCAGACGTTCCTTTAGGACTGGAAGAGGCCGGATTCCAGGCCTCTCAGGTACCGGGACAGGAGCCCTGGATGTCAGATGAGTTCCAAAGCCTGGGTCCCTCCCTGGAGGTCAGCCCTGGGGAGGGGAGATAGCCCCTGGCATCCTGCGTGCTCAGGTGGCAGACAGATTTCAAAATACTGAACCTGAGTTCTTTGTCAATAACCCAAAGTTCGGATTAACTTCTCTGTGATTGTTGGCTAATTAAAACAAATGAGAACATACTGTTCCTAGAAAATAAGATTTTCTGCCATAATCTAAAGAGCTTGCAGACTTTTATTTAAAACCTATATTCTGAAAATCACAAATCATAGCAACACCACCTCATAATCCTCATTTCCTGGTATGTCCCTTTTTTTTCAATCAATAACATTTTCCCATATAAGTCTCTCGAGACATTTAGGAAATTAGAAATTTCCCCAGGCTTGTTCTCAGACACATGAGTGAATTAAACTTCGTACATATATTGGCTACTCATTTGTTGTCTCCTCCTCTGCCACCCCCAGCAGAGAAACTGACAGTGCCCCAAAGTTCTCAGAAGTTCTAACTTTACTGAAGAAAAATGCATTTTGGGGGGGTGGTGGGTGTCAAAACAAGGTTACGCAGAAGGGAGAGCAAGGAAGGGCTTCAGAACTCTCCCTCGGCATTTAGTGTACGCGATTTCTTGAGATTCTTCAATTTATCGATGGCAGAAGCGAGTGACATCTCTCCGTGAACTCTGTTGTCCCTTGTTCGAACGTTGACAGCACTGTTTGCTTTTTCCTCTTCTCCAACCACTGGGGAGAAGAAAGGGAAATAGCATTGTAAATCAACCATTTACAGAAGATCGAGCGAGCAATCACATGACCGGTGTCTTGAGTTTTTTCTTCAGTATAGAATGAAAGTGCTAAAAAAACAAAACAAAACAAACACACACAAGCATTTAGGAGAACAGATGCAACTTTAAATTACCGAAAATAAAATTATACTGAGCCAGCTGGGCGTTTTGGATTTTCTGATTTAGTGCACAGCTATGATCCAAATCGACGTCAGCCATGAATCCTTCTTCAAAGAACGTGCTGGAGATCTACAAGAATAGAAAATGCTCCGTTATTGTGTCGGCCTGTGGACTGAAGGGTCCCAGGTTTGATTCCAGTTAAGGGCACATGCTTGGGTTGTGGGCTCAACCTCCAGTAGGGGGCATGCAGGAGGCAGCCTATCAGTCATTCTCTCTCATCATGGATGTTTCTTTCTTTCTCTTTCTCTCTCTCTCTCTCTCTCTCTCTCTCCCCCTTTCCCTTCCGCTCTGAAATCAATAAAAATATATCAACAACAGAAAGAAGTCTTTGTGGTCTTTTGGGGTAATTTGTTACACAGCAATAGGTGATATAAGTTACTGACCTAATAGAACCACATGGAAAAGAATAACAAATGTGAGATGTTTTAAAACAGCAATTCCTCAAAAAAAAAAAAAACAAAAAAAAAAACCAAACCCTAAGAAATAAAATAGTTCTGATACAGGAGACAGGCATGCTGCGGGTGTACCTCCCGATGGCCCAAAACATGGGTTGGCATGTGAATGCGTTAGTGATGCAGTATTCTAAGGCATGAATACATGTCAAGTAAAAAAAATCTTCACACACTAGATGCCAAGGTTATTCTGTACTTTGTTGTGTACTTAGATTGGACAGTGGGTGACAAGTAGGTCTGTCATTAAATGCATCTGATTTTAAATATATATATATTTTTTATTGATTTTTTTTTTACAGAGAGAAAGGGAGAGGGATAGAGCGTTAGAAACACTGATGAGAGAGAAACATCCATCAGCTGCCTCCTGCACACCCCCCTACTGGGGATGTGCCCGCATCCAAGGTGCATGCCCTTGACCGGAATTGAACCCGGGACCCCTCAGTCCGCAGGATGATGCTTTATCCACTGAGCCAAACAGGTTAGGGCAAGTACGTCTGATTTTACCTGCAGTGCATATTTGTCACAAGTCGGCCCCACGGGGATGACCATCAGCTGACGAGGAGACAGCCAGAAAGGCCTGAGAAATAGGAAATAAGTGTCTTTTCAGAATGACCATTTGTTACATGATTAAAAATAACCAAAGATTTTTTTTTAAAGGAGATTTCTTACTCAATAGTTTTTTTTTTTTGTTTTGTTTTTTTTAAATACTTGACTTCAGAGAAGGGTGAGGAATTGAGAGAGAGAAACATCCATGAGGAGAATCAGTCTGCGGGCTGATGCTGTATCCACTGGGCCACACCAGCCAGGGCTCATCATTGATGTTTCTCTCTCTCCCTCCCCCTCCTCTCTAATCAAATATATATCTATCTCACACTTGAGGGCATTTCGCTCCCCCACTTCGCCCCTCAGCGGGGCCGGGCTTGGGGAGCAGCCCTCTTGGGTGTGTGCCAACGTGCTTGTTGTCCAGGGCCCTTTGTGCTGCAGGGCTTCCCGCCAAGTCGGTGGTCACAGGGCCCCCGACGTGGTCAACACCTGGGGGTGAAGGGGGGAGGGCGGGAGGGGGTGCCCCCCAGGGAGTGTGGGCCTTGGGATTCCCAGATTCCAACTTTGCGAGGCCTGAAACGGCGAGGAGATGACTGTATAGCGCTACTGAGTTCCCCAAAAGGCCGATGAGATGGCTTCCTGTCACCGGCCTGTCTCTTCTGGCTCGGCAGAGGAACGGGAGTTTTTTTGCTCGTCGAGAGGATGCCGGCCGACGGTGAGACAGGAGCCACTCGTGCCCTTTCGTGGCAGCTGTCTCTTCCAGACGTGGCTTCTGAGGAGTAACGGACGCGTTCCCTTTCCCGCGTCGCTCACCACTTGCCCCCGTAGCTCTCCGCCAGGAGGGCGATCATCCTCTCCACGGAGCCCAGGACGGCCCGGTGAATGATCACAGGGCTCTTCTTGTCGTCCCCGTCCTTACTGGGAAGGGAAAAACGACACATTTCAGGGCTCTATTTTTTAAAAATGTATTTCTTATTGATTTCAGAGAAAGGGGAGGGGGAGAGAGGGAGGGAGAGAAACATCGATGATGAGAATCATTGATTGGCTGCTTCCTGCATGCGCCCTAGTAGAGGTCAAGCCCACACCCCAGGCATGTACTCTGACCGGGAATCTAACCGTGACCTCCTGGTTCATAGGTGGATGCTCGACCACTGGGCCACACCAGTGATGCTAAGATAATTAGACACCTAGATGCAACCAGTGAACTCTGACCTAAACCTTTCACATCTTAGAGTCTAAGACTTAGACAAAAAAATTGGACTCCAAGTGGACTGTAGACCTAAGTGTAAAAGTCAACACTCGGAAACGTAGGGGAAATCTTCATTGCCTGTGCTGAGGCAAAGTGTGTGCCGACGTGATGCCAAAGACATGGTTCATAAGAGAAAAACCCCCACTTAGACATCAGTGAAATACAAAACCTGAAACGAAAGCGAACATCGAGTCACTGTAAAAGAAGAAGAAGAAGAAGAAGAAGAAGAAGAAGAAGAAGAAGAAGAAGAAGCAGCAGCAGCAGCAACTGCTACAGCCCAGCCAGCGTAGCTTAATGGTTGAGTATCCAGTTTGAAGCAGGAGGTCATGGTTCGATTCCTGGTCAGGGCACATGCCCGGGTGGCAGGCTTGATCCCCAGTCGGGGGCGAACAGGAGGCAGCCAATCAATGATTCTGTTATCATGGATGTTTCTCTCCCTCTCCCTTCCTCTCCAAAATCAATAACAATATATTTCTTAAAAAAAAAAAAAAAAAAAAAAAAAAAAAGCTACAGCTTAGGAGTAAATACTACCAAATCCCATACACACCCTGCGCTTACATGGAGACTATAGAAAGAGCTCTCATCGTGCAACAGTGCCACGTGGCCAGGATGTCAGCACCGCACGGATCCCCACACCTACTCTCGCACCTGACGTAGGTGAGGTGAAACCTCCTCGGGAGCTGGAAGTCCAGCTGGATGGTCGCACACTGGTGGGGCCTGCCCCGGGCGTCCTTGATGCTGACGTCGATCTGCAAGGCCAGTGAGGTCTGCTCAGACACGGGTCCCGCCTCTCTGTTCCCCTGACCTTCCCACGAGGAGGTCCGCTTACCTTGGGGCCATAGAACGCTCCATCTCCTGGGCTCAGCTTCCACGGTTTTCCAAAGTCCGCCAGGCTCTTCTGCAGCTGCTGTGAAGGAAAAGAGAGATGAGAGCGTGCCTGGCTGGCGTGACATCGACCTATGAGCCCTCGGCACCCGGTGGCCGCAGCCACGCTGGCGTTCCCCCGAGTCCGCACTCCGTCCCCACCCACCTTCTCAGCCTCATCCCACAACGCGAGCTCGCCCAGGAAGTGTTCCGGCCGCGTCGACAGGTTTAATTCAAAGGAGAAGCCGAACGTGGAGTAGACGGACTGCAAGAACTGCAGACACCCCCGGATCTCCTCTTCAATCTGAAAAGAGGGCAAAGGAAATGTTTTATTAATAAATAAATAAACTTATTTATTTATTTATTTATTTATTTTTAAAAAATATATTTTATTGATTTTGTACAGAGAAGAAGGGAGAGAGATAGAGAGCTAGAAACATCGATGAGAGAGAGTCATCGATCAGCTGCCTCTTGCACAACCCCCACCAGGGATATGTGCCCACAACCAAGGTACATGCCCTTGACCGGAATCGAACCCGGGTCCCTTCAGTCCCCAAGCCGACGCTCTATCCACTGAGCTAAACCGGTTTCGGCTAAATAAATAAATTTAAATGTCTTTTTAATTGACTTCACCCCTAGCTGGTGCGGCTCAGTGGATAGAGCATCGGCCTCCAGACTGATGGGACCTGGGGTTCAATTCCAGTCAAGAGCACATGCCCCGGGGACAGGCTCAGTCCCTGTTTGGGGCCGTGCAGAAGGCTGCTGATCTGTGATTCTCTCATTGACGTTTCTCTCTCCCTCCCTCTCTGATGTAAAATATATATATACAGATTAAAAGAGATTATTGATCTGTGACCCCGATTGGAGAATCACACAGACTGTGAGGCCGGAGAGACCTCAGAGGCCAGACTGAACTCTGCAGTTCACAGCGACGCTGAGGGACTGAGACGCTGTGGGCGCGGGGCCCACGCTGGGCGCCCCGCCCGCCCCACCCACCTGCCCCTCGGTGCAGAAGATGTGGGCGTCGTCCTGCTGGAAGCGCCGCACCCTGGTCAGGCCACTCAGGGTTCCCGACGGCTCGTTTCTGTGAAGAACCCCGAAGTCGGCAAACCGCACCGGCATTTCCCTCCAGGACCGCGGGCGGTGGGCAAACATGAGACTGGAAGAGAGGCGGGGAGATGGCTAAGCGATGAGTGAAGCCATAACAAGTTACGAGGGCGCCGCCAGACGGGTCCCTCTTTATTCTGGTCCTTAGGTCACCAGCGTTAGAGAAATCTCTTCTCCTGTGAGTTACCGCGCCTCGGATTTGCATGGCCCCGGCGCCCTACGGCCCTGTCCACCCTCTCCCCCAGAACGCACCTCTCCCACCCCGCAGCCCCCTGCTCCCGTTCACCCAGGGAATTCCCACTCACTGTTTACCGCTCATTCCAAAGGCCACGATTTTTCTTTTAAAGAATAGCTAGCTTATTGCCTGGCCGGTGTGGCTCAGTGGTTGAGCATCAACCCACAAACCTGGAAGGTCACAGTTTGATTCCCGGTCAGGGCCCATGTCTGGGTTGCAGATTCCCAGTGCGAGGCGTGCAGGAGGCAGCAGATCCACCATTCTCTCTCATCGCTGATGTTTATATCTCTTTCTCCCTCTCCCTTCCTCTCTGAAATCAATTAAAAAATATATATTTTTTCCCCCCAAAAAAAGACTAGTTTATTGATATTTCAAGAGTGGCGAAGGGAGAGGGAGAGAAACATCAATGTGAGAGCGAAATACCCATCGGCTGCCTCCTGCATGCCCCCTACTGGGGATTGAACCCACAATCCGGGCGTGTGCCCTGACCAGGAATGGAGCCGTGACCTCTCGGTGCACAGACGACGCCCCGCCCCCTGAGCCACACCGGCCGCCTGCCTGCCTGCCTGCCTGCCTGCCGGTGCCCACTCACCAGTGCGCCGGACAGTTCATGGGCTTGAGGGCGAACGTGTCCTTGTCCACGTTGAAGGCGAACATGCTCTGGCTGTAGAGCTGCCAGTGGCCCGAGGCCTCCCAGAGCCTGCTGCTGAGCACGTTGGGGGAGAGCACCTCCGAGAAACCCCGGCGGCGATCCTCCTCCTGCGGGGAAGGCAGGGGGAGGTCAGCGCCGCGCGCAGCCCTGCCGTGGGCGCCCGGGTGCTCGGGGGTCACCGCGTCCACCCGGGAGGACGGGCGGCTCAGCTGGGCGTGGTCCCTTCGGGGTCCGGAACGGGGAATGCACGCGCCAGTGTTTCACGTCGGGTATGTGTGTTTTACCGTATGCGACAGCGCACGATGCTTTGATTCGTTGGGATGCTACACGGAGCGCGTTTATAAAGGCATAAACCTCCAAGGCCGACGGGAAAGGAGCGGAGGTGAAAGCTCATTGTTAGGATCAGGAAGGCAGGTCAGGGAGGACCTGGAAGCAGCCTGCTTCAGCTGACAGAGGCCTCTAGGGCCCACGGTTACTATTATCTTGTAAAGAATAGTTTACTGCCTGGCCAGTTATTTTTATACAGAGAGAGGAAGGGAGAGAGGGATAGAAACGTGGATGACAGGGAAACCAATAGGCTGCCTCGTGCACGCTCCACACTGGGGATCGAGCCTGGAACGTGGGCACAGTGCCCCGACCGGGAATCGAACCGCGGCCTCCCGGTTCATAGGTTGATGCTCAACCCCTGAGCCACCCGCTGTCACGGGTGGATGGTATTCCTGCCCCCGAGAGGCTGGAATGGAGCGCAGAACGCAAACCGATCGGAAAACGGTCTTTATCGAGGTGGTCAGTTCAGAGGAGGTCACTGGAGTGGATCTTAATCCAATGGGACAGGCTTCCTCATAAAAAGAGGAGGTTTGGGGGGAGAGAGAGAGAGAGAGAGAGAGAGAGAGAGAGAACACATGAAGAGGAAGATGACGCGAAGACACGCAGGGAGGACGCCAGGGGAAGGCAGGAGACTGGAGGGCGGCACTGACCCGCCAGGGAAGCCCAGCGTGATGGATACGCCACCCCTGGCTGGGGAAGGCAGGGAGGACGGGCTCCCCGTGGGCCCTCAGAGGGAGCACGACTCTGCCAGCGCCTGGATTTCATGCTGCCGGCCTCGGGAACAGGGAAAGGACACATTCCTGCTGGAGGCCACTCGTGTGTGTGTGTGTGTGTGTGTGTGTGTGTGTGTGTGTTTAGTAAATATATTTTTATTGGCGTCAGAGAGGAAGGGAGAGCGAAAGAAAGACAGAAACACTGATGAGAGAGAATCATGGATGGGCTGCCTCTGCACGCCCCCTACTGGGGATGGAGCCCGCAACCCGGGCCTGTGCCCTGACTGGGAATCCAACCGTGACCTCCTGGCTCCTAGGTCGGGCGCTCCACTGCTGAGCCACGCCGGCCGGGCCGATTCTGCAGCTTTCTGTGTGTGCTGCAGGCCCAGGCATCCCCCTCGGCTATGCCTGGCCCCCGTGCCCATCCCAACATTCGGGCGCAGGCCTCCCCCCAGCACCCTTACCTTGGCATGTGAGGCCTGGGGCTGGGTCTAAAGGGCCGCGTACCCTGCGCCTCACACAGGGAGACCTGGGGCCGCCCCCCGCCAGGTCTGTGTCGCATCTACGAGAGACAAGAGACCCTGTGAGGCCGCCCCGGAGGCCCCGCCTCCTCTCAGCGCTCCTCCCGGCGCCTGCAGAGTTCAAGATGCCGGGCCCGGGATGCCTTTCCAGCAAAGACGGCGCAGTGAGGTCAGCCGTCAGGATGGGCCTTGCTCCCCGCTGGCGCCTCTGATCACATCAGTGACTCCGCAAGCCTCGCCGCCCTGCCCTCTGATGGCCTCCTACGGCCTCACGGGGGCCGCCGGCCGCTGGGCAGGATGCGCAGCCCAGGTGAGAGCCCCGCTGGGCAGTGTCCCGGGCGCAGCGCGAGAAGAGGGGACAAAACGAGACGAGTGAGTCACAGAACTACCGGCACACGCCACGTGCTCTGTCCCCGGGAAGTTGTTCTTATTTATTTATTTTTTTTAAATATATTTTTACTGATTTCAGAGAGGAAGGGTGATGGAGAAGGAGAGAGAAAGAGAGAGAGAGAGAGAGAGGTCAATGATGAGAGAGAACCATGGAGCAGCTGCCTCCTGCACGCCCCACGCTGGGGATGAAGCCTGCAACCCGGGCCTGTGCCCTGACCGGGATAAGAACCGTGACCTCCTGGGTCATAGGTTGATGCTCAGCCACGGAGCCACGCCGGCCGGGCTCCTCAGGAAGCTCCTGAACAAAGTGCTGGGCAAATCCCAAACGAGAGGGATAAGCGAGGAGGAGGAAGACGCGACATCGGGAGAGAGGAGCATGAGCACAGGATGGCGACAGGAAGAAGCCTTAGACATCATGGCTCTGGAGCGAGAAGACCCGAAGGACACGGGATCACCGAGGGACCCCCCACCGGGACCGTCAGAGCGTGCCCCACGGGCTGCCGGGGGCCTGACGGACAGCAGGGGGCGGACAGGACGGGCACTCAGCACGGGGCCGCGGCCCTTGTCGCTGGTGCGTGGTGACAGAGCGCGGAAGGGACGTCACCCCGTAGTCCGCGGGGTGGCCTGCAGCAGCAGCCCCGGCACGCGGTCCCGTCCCGTGACGGACGCCGGCCCACGCGTGCGCCCTGCAGCCCAGCACCTTCCAGAGCTCTTTCCCTCTTTGCCCCGGAGCCGCCCGGTCTCCCCACTCACGCGGATGAAGCCCAGCAGCGTGTGGTAGACGGAGGCTCCCCGCGGGAGGAAGAAGCAGCTCCCGGGACTCAGGTCATGGAAGAAGAAAAGCTCCTGGTCCTGCAACGACACCGTGACACATAACATGCGCTGACACGTAACACGTGCTGACACATAACATGTGCTGACACATAACATGTGCCAGGCTCCCGTTCCCATCTCCCAGCCACGGCACCCACTGTCCCTCGGGACTTCCACCCAACGGCGCCCAACGGCACCGGGAAAGCGACACTGTGGATGGATGGTAGCTTTTGCTCCGCCTCCTATTTCCTGCTGACTTTCTCACTTGGCATCTCGGAGGACGGATGCCATGGGGAGAAAACACTGCGAAAAGGCCAGAAATAGCCGAAACCGGTTTGGCTCAGTGGCTGAGCTTCGACCCATGAACTGGGTTTGATTTCCAGTCAGGGCACAGGCCTGGGTGGCGGGCTCTATACCCAGTAGGGGGCGTGCAGGAGGCAGCCGGTCCATGATTCTCTCTCCTCATTGATGTTTCTCTCTCTCTCTCTCTCTCTCTCTCTCTCTCTCCCCACCCCGCCCCCCCATCTCTGAAATCAATAAAATGTTTTTAAAAGATATTTAAGCACCTAGGAGGACAAATGTTACTTTTGGGACGCTTTGGTTTTGGGACAGAGTGGCGAGCTGACAAAAGTCCCTCTCCATCTCAGGGGGTGGGGGTGGGGGGCGCTAGGGGGGGAGGAGGGAGGAAAGAGATGCCGGGCCCACCTTCCCGATTCTCCTGTGGTCTCGGCTGCTGGCCTTCTCCTGGGCCTCCTCCCAGGCTGTCATCATCTTGCTCTCGGGGAGGGACACCCTGCAGGTCCGCTGCAGCGCTTCCCTGGCCGGGCTGTCCTCACGCACCGGGTCTCCGGTCTTTTAAAAGAAAAGCTGGTTTGGCTCAGTGGATAGAGCATCAATCAGCCCATGGACTGCAGGGTCCCAGGTTCGATTCCGGTCAAGGCCGCATACCGCGATTGCAGGCTTAATCCCCAACCCCCTGATTGGGTGCAAATGCAGGAGGCAGCCAATCAATGTGTCTCTCATCTCGATGCTTTTCTCTCTCTCTCTCTCTCTCTCTCTCTCTCTCTGTCTCTCCCCCATCCCTTCCATTCTCTCTAAGAATCAATAGGAAAATATCCTCAGGTGAAGATTAACCGGAAAAACAAGTAAATTAAGTTAAAGAGTAAGAGTATTCTTTATAAAGGACCCTTGAATTTTTCAGTCAAGCAGAAAACGCTTTTTTTTTTTTTTTTTACAAAGTCAATCTATCATTTCGTAGACCTGAGTTTTCTCAACTTGTTTTGCGATAGGGTTTCTTTCTCATGAATAGGCAATCAATATTCATAAATCGGTTGATGTTCGCAGTCTTGTTAATATGTTTACAATAATGGGAAAATGAAACTCGGGAGTGGGGGGGGGGGGGTAAATCTTTGATGGTAAATTACACTAAAAGCAGCACCAGGCCTGGCCGGCGTGGCTCGGTGGTTGAGTGCTGACATGAATTGCAGGCAAGCATTTTTACTTACCTGGCTGCCAGGCTCCTGTTCCCCCTTCGCATTCTGAATGTCCTCTTCTTGGTTTGGACTAGGAGGAGGCTGGGGAGAGAAAGGTAAACGGTAAACAGCTCATGTCCACGACAAGAAAGAGCAGCAGCCGAAACCGGTGTGGCTCAGTGGATAGAGCGTCGTTCTGCGAACTGAAAGGTCACAGGTTCGATCCCGGTCAGGGGCATGTACGTTGGTTGCCGGCACCTCCCTGGTAGGGGGTGTGCAAGAGGCAACTGGTCGATGTTTCTCTCTCATCGACGTTTCTAGCTCTCTAGCTCTCTCCCTTCCTCTCTGTAAAAAATCAATAAAATATATTTTTTAAAAAAAGAAAGAGCAGCACATCTGAGACCTGAAGGGGGAGGGGGACATGCCAGCAAGCAGCAAGTGCCCCCGACCCCTGTTTGGGGGCTCTGGGCTGTCCTGAGCAACCTCTACAGCCCTCAATGGGCACGTTGTTTTCTGAAATTTGGTCCTTCCTGTCTGGGAATTCCCCTATATTCTTGCTAAGAACTGGAGATGTATTTAAAAATATTTAAAAATATATATACATAAGTATTTGTTGATTTCAGAGAGAGGAAAGGAGAGAGAGATAGAAACATCTTCAATGAGAGAGACTCATGGATCAGCTATCTCCTGCTCGCCCCACACTGGGAATCGACCCCTGACCTGGTTCATGGGTGGATGCTCAACCACTGAGCCACACGCCTGCAGGGCTATGTTTATATACTTATTGCATTTTAAACCTAAATACATTTAATTATTTTAAAGCCCCCCTCCCCTAGACTTTAAACAAGTGATGTCACTGGAAAAACAGTGGTGTGGCTGCCACCAGGGACTCGCAGCCCATTATTTCACCAAGATGGGGATAGGGCCCCCTGGTTTTCAAGAACTGTGCCCACTAAACATAGGAAATGTATGACGTTACAGAAAACTCGTCCTTCAATGAATTAAAAAAAGTGAAATCCTGCACTAAATAACGATGCTCAACACACAGACCTCAAGACAACAAAACCCCAACGTGCCCAAGCGAAGACTAGAACTTTCAACACGCCAGCAATTTTTTTTTGGGGGGAGGGAGGGATCCCCAAGCAAAGGAAATGGCTCTTCTGCTCCTGCACAATCACGGGCGGCAGCGATGGAAGCGGGGAGCGGAGCGGAGCTGAGCGTGCACCCCAGGCCAGCCCGGCGGCCGCGGGGAAGGCAGGGTCCGGGTCCCGGGTCCCGGGAGGGCAGGGCCCGCCCCGCAGGGACCGGGAGGGCCCGCCCCGTCCTTCCCGGGGAGAAGCAGGCTCAGGGTGCCCCCCCGCCGCCCGCCACCTGCCTCCTCCTCCCGCGCCGCCCGGCCGCTCCGCTCCTCCGCGAGGCTCAGCCGCAGGCGGGACAGGCGGCGCCGCAGGTCCTGGTTCTCCGCCCGCAGCCGCGCCACCTCCCGCGGGAGGCAGGGCCCCTCGGCCGGGCCGCGGTCGGGCGCGTTCAGCTGCGCGTCCCGCAGGCGCTGGACCTCGGCCCACAGCCAGCGGACGTCCTCCTCCTGCCGCTGCAGCCGCGAAGCCACCGCCGCGGCCGCCAGCGCCTCGGCCGCCGCCATGGCGCCCGCCTCCCTCAGCGAGGGCGCCGCGCCGGTGGCAGCGGCGGGGGGACGGGGAGGACGAAGGGGCAGCGGGGACCGGACACCGCTGAGGGGCAGGGCGACGGGCGGGCGGGGACCATGGGAACTGGGGAGGCGGGGCCGCGGTTACGTACAGCGCAGGGGCGTGGCCATGGGAACGCGTGGCCATGGGAACCTAGAAGGCGGAGCCACGCGGAGAGGCGTGGCTGCGGTACGTACAGCGCAGGGGCGGGGCTATACTGGGTGAGGCGGGGTTATAGATACGTACAGCGCAAAGGCGGGGCTATAGGAACCGGAAAGGCGGGGCTGCCGTTACGCACAGCGTAGGGGCGGAGCCTACAGGCACCGGGAAGGCGGGGCTACCGTTACGCACAGCGCAGGGGCGGGGCTACGGGAACCGGAAAGGCGGGGCTGCCTTACGTACACCGCAGAGGCGGAGCCACGTAAACTGGAGAGGCGGGGTTACCGTTACGTACGGCGAAGGGGCAGGGCTATGGGAGCTAGGGAGGCGGGGCGCCGGGGAGGGGTGGGGCTGATGTTACGTAACCGCAGGGGCGGGGCCTGGAGGGCGGTGCGGGGCCCGAATAAGTTCAAGGTGCTTTCAAGGCTCTTCGCTTGTCGCCTGGCGTCCGCTGAACGCAAATGGTCTAAAATCTTGGAAAGGTTATCATCTCCCTCCCGGAATGGCTCCTGACTCCGCCCTCCCAAGTTCTGGCTTCCACTAGTCTTTCCCCTGGCTTCAAGGCTCGACATGAGACAAAGAGACCTTATGTGCATGTATGCATTTCCTATAGGCACAGACAATAGGGTGGCGAGGGCCTGGGGTGGGGTGGGACCCGGGTGGAGGGGAGCTATGAGGGGAAAAAGAGGGACATCTGTATATTTAAAAAGAGAAAAGAAAAGAAAAAAAAAAAACACACATAAAAACCCCCACCGTGGCCTGTAATACTGCAAAAGGCACACCAGATGGCAGCATTTCCTTCAGAATTTTCGACTCGGCGTCCAATTAACTGGATGGCTAACGGGAAGGAAAGCCACCAATTCTGGGACCGCTGGTCCAGTCTTCCGTGAGGCTCCAAGTGCTGCCCAATATAAGGTATATTGTCCCAGCCCAGCCCCGGGCGGGTACTTTACCAGTAAACGGATATTTTAAACATAAGTGTATGCCCTGGCCCCGTGGTTGGCAAACTGCGGCTCTCGAGCCACCTGCGGCTCTTTGGGGCCTTGCGTGTGGCTCTTCCACAAAAACACCACGGCCTGGGCGAGTCTACGTTGAAGAAGTGGCGTTAGAAGAAGTTTAAGCTTAAAACATGTGGCTCCCCAGAGAAACGTCAGTCACTGGGCTGTTGGTATTTGGCTCTGAGGACGAATGAGTTTGCCACCCACCGCCCTGACCGGTTTGAGTGGCTAGAGCATGGGCCCACGGACTGAAGGGTCTCGGGTTTGATTCTGGTTAAGGGCACATATCACCGTTGCAGGCTCCATCCCCGGCCCCAGTTGGGGCTTGCAGGAGGCAACCAATCGATGTGTCTCTCTCATCAATATTTCTCTCTCTCTCTTCCCCTCCTTTCACTCTCTCTAAAACTCAATTTAAAAAAAATTTCCGGTTTGGCTCAGTGGATAGCGCATCGGCCTTCAGAGCAAAGGGTCCTGGGTTCGATGCTGATCCAGGGCACATGCCTGGGTTGTGGGCTTGATCCCCAGTATGGGGCGTGCAGGAGGCAGCTGAGCCATGATTCTCTCTCATCCTTGATGCTTCTGTCTCTCTCTTTCTCTCCCTCTCCTTTTCTCTGTCTAAAATCCAATTTTAAAAACATTAAAAAAAATTTTTTTAAAGGCTATACAGCTAAAGGACAGAGCCAGTACCCAGACCTGGCCGTATGCTCCTTCACCCCACAGACCCCAGGGTCATCTCCCCCATTCAATCATGAGAAACAGTGGTTGGGTTCCCCATAATAATGGGGGTCCAGGGGGAACGGAAGGGGGGGCTGGCTCTCAGGCAGAAAACAAGGCAATGGGTGGAAACTCCCAACAGACATTTCTGCCAGTTTATGGATGATGGATGCATTTCCATGGATAAAAGGGTTCACTTGCCGAAACCGGTTTGGCTCAGTGGTAGAGTGTCGGTCTGCGGACTGAAGGGTCCCAGGTTCGATTCCGGACAAGGGCATGGGCCTTGGTTGCGGGCACATCCCTAATGTGGGGTGTGCAGGAGGCAGCTGGTGGATGTTTCTCTCTCATCCATGTTTCTCTATCCCTCTCCCTTCCTCTCTGTAAAAAAAATCAATTAAAAAATATATATATATTAAAATAGAGCCCTGCACTCAGAGCAAAGGGCTGCAGGTGGTGTTGGCTTAGTGTTGTAATTAAAACGGGGGTGAATCCTCGGCCTCCTTTTGCAGAGGCGGAGAAAAACACCATTTTTCCATTTGGTTCAGGTAAACTCACACGTCCTGGCTTCGGCTCAGTGTTTTAGGACTGAAAGATGGACCTGGGTTTAAAGTCAAAATGTAGCCCCGCTCGGGTTGGCTCAGTGGATAGAGCGTAGGCCTATGGACCAAAGGGTCCCAGGTTCGATTCCGGCTGAGGGCATGTCCCTCGGTCCTAGGCTCCTGCCTGGCTCGGGGCTTCAGCAGGAGGCAGCCTATCAACAATTTTCTCTCCTCGTGGTTGTTTCTCTCTCTCTTTCCCCTTCTCCCTTTCGCTCTTAAATCAATAAAAATATATTAAAAAAAGAATAATTGATACATAAAAATAACCCAGAAAACCCTGCTCTCACATGCAGCCAACCCTGACTGCTGTCATTTGCAGCAACACGAATCCCAAACACACACACACACACACACACACACACACACACCCCAAAGCACAAACATCCAAAGGGGACAAATGAATGGGGGGTTGTGCTTGGGGCGGCCAGGCCAGCGGGGCCCAGCATCAAAGCATAAAGGGCCTCTGTGTCCGGCAGCTTCCTGGTCAGCTGACTCCGCCGGACACTGGGAGCCGCCGCGCCTTGAACCCGCACCAAGCCCTCCCCCACTTTGTCTGCAGTGGGCTCCGTAGGGAACCAGAGCCATCACACGTGCACACGCCCACCGCCAGCTCTGCCCAGAGGCAGCAAACGCCGAGCAGGAGACCACGGGCCCTTCTGCAGATTCCACCGGGATGTGTCTGTGTCTGTCTTTCCTTTACGTCGTTCTTTTCCTTCCAATGTTTCTCTCTCGTCGATGTTTCTAGTTCTCTATCCCTCTCTCTTTCTCTATGTAAAAAAAAAAAAAAAAAAATCAGCCGAGACCGGTTTGGCTCAATGGATAGAGCGTCGGCTTGGGGACTGAAGGGTCCCGGGTTCGATTCCGGTCAAGGACATGTACCTTGGTTGCGGGCATATCCTCAGGAGGGGGTGTGCAAGAGGCAGCTGATCGATGACTCTCTCTCATCGATGTTTCTAACTCTCTATCTCTCTCCCTTCCTCTCTGTACAAAATCAATAAAATATATATTTTTAAAAATCAATAATATATATATATATATATATATATATATATATATTTTAAAGAGAGAGAAAGAAGGCAGCCTATCAATCTCTAAGTTTTCATACCTAAGACCCTGGTTGTTGAGACTTTTGCATTTCTAAGATTTGACTCACTAGGAAGAGAAGCCATCTTTAAATATATATATATATATATATATATATATATGAATGATATATTTTATTTATTTTTTTACAAAGAGGAAGAGAGAGGAATAGAGAGTTAGAAACATCAATGAGAGAGAAACATCCATCAGCTGCCTCTTGCACGCCCCCTACTGGGGATGTGCCCGCAACCAAGGTACATGCCCTTGACTGGAATCGAACCTGGGACCCTTCAGTCCATGGGCTGATGCTCTATCCCCTGAGCCACACCGGTCAGAGCAAGGACTATTTTCAATTCATGAATAGCCTACGTTATTATTTTTCTAATTCTTACTTATACACATCCCCCCGCCCCACCCCTATATATAGCCTAAGCAGGAAACAAGCTACAATCTAAACAGAAGAGGGACATCGCTAATTATATACGTGCTAGTCTCCCTAAATTCAAAGCAACTCACTTCTTTTCATGTTTAAAAAAAAACCACATGGCACAACCATGAATGTTTTTTTTTAAGATTTTTTTTTTTTTTTTTTTTTTTTTTTTTACAGAGAGGAAGGGAGAGGGATAGACAGAAGCATCGATGAGAGAGAAACATCCATCAGCTGCCTCCTGCACACCCACCAACCAAGGCACATGTCCTTGACCGGAATCGAACCTGGGACCCTTGAGTCTGCAGGCTGACGCTCTATCCACTGAGCCACACCGGTGAGGGCTCCTCCAATGTATTCGAATACAGAAAGCAGACGCACTCACTGTTGAGAATGTTCGAACCATTAGGATGCCGGCTCTGTGGAGGCAGGAGTCCAAAATACTGGCTCCACCAAAACACGGTGTGGCTCAGTGGATAGAGCATCGGCCTGGGGACTGAAAGGTCCCGGATTCGATTCCGGTCAAGGGCATGGACCTTGGTTGCGGGCACATCCCCAGTAGGGGTGTGCAAGAGGCAGCTGATCGATGACTCTCTCTCATTGATGTTTCTAACTATCTCTCTCCCTTCTTCTCTGTACAAAATCAATAAAATATATTAAAAACACACACACACACAAAAACAACAACACTGCAGTCGGGAAAATTGGGGGTTGTTGTCTTAATCACATCAGCCTGATTATGGCTGTGGGGCTCCTGTGGTGGGTGGAGAAGGCTGTGATTATGTTCTCCTTCTTTTTGTTGGTCCTAGCTTTTCCTTCGTCGTGTCTTTTTATAGCCGCCTTCCCCGACTGGTTAAAAAAAAAAAAAAAAAAAAAAGCCTAAATTTGGTGTCTGAGGCCCCTTCTTAATGAAGGACCAGCCACAGGAAGAACTGATGGTTCAGCCATTCATGCTCCCTGTGTTTTTATCATTGTCG